TGAAACAAGAAATGCTTTGTTAAAGTTACAAACTAATATAAAATTTCATAATAGTTTAAATAATGATCAAGTGAAGATTAAATTGAATAAAAATAAATAAAAGTATTTGACTATTGAAATGATAAGAACTATACACAGTTAAATTAAATGAACCTTGCAATAATCAAATTAAAATACAAATAAGATCTATTTGTTCTTTTCAATTCAAAATGTTAAAACAATGTAATAATTTAGCAAACACTTACCAACTTCTATGTAAACTCGATGTAAACTACATATATAAGTTAAATATACGTTTGAGAAAAACCTAAGCTAACGACATTATGTGTCAGTTAATATCCCTGTTCATTGGTTCACAGCTTGTAAACAACTTTTTATTTAACAATCAAATATATTTCAGTTGGAATAAGTGACAAATTATACACAAATATAGAATTGTAAATATAAACAATAATAGTATTGAAGAAAAATGATAATTTAAAGGGTTTATGAAAATAAGTACAAAATTTTATAGTTGACTAAATTCTCATTATATATTAATATTATTCCTTAAATCTACAAATTTATAATATTAGAATTATTTGACGTAATGCATTAAAACATTTTACACAATAGAAATCAATTAATATATGATATAAATCTTAAACAAATACCGAAGTCAATAGCTACTTATAATGTTGTAATACATAATAAATAGTAAATAAATAATTTGATTTATGTCATACATTTATATTTACAAATAATATATCTTGTATGTACGAAAAGTGATACTTCTTGAAAATAATATATATTTGATATTTTCTACTAATGTTATTACAAAAAATAATATATTTTATTTCTTCGTAAAAATAATACTATCGCAAATAAAACATTGCATTCTATTAAAAATGTTTAAGTTTTTAAAAAGAAATATTTTATTTTGCAAAAAGTAATAATTTTGAAGAAAATAAATATACTTTTATTAGTATTAATATTTAATTAAAATATTATTTAAGTAGTGTTCCATTTGATAGATACTTCTCAGTTAAAAATAAGAATACTTAACAAGATAAATATGCAAATATTGTGAATTTTCATTTAATTTAGTGTTATATTATGTAAATCATGTTCACAATTTATTTTCAACTGAAGATTGTTAAACATATAATAGTTATTAACAGTACACTATTATATGGGTCAATATAATACTTTATTTGATGTTATATTTAAGATCAAAATTTGTCTTTGCATTTTAAAGAATCTACTACTTTAGATAGTATTTGAGATATATTATTTTCAGAACTATTAAGTAACACTTTTATAAATTATTTTATCGTGTACTTCTTATTTATGCAGAAACATTTCTTCCTTTTTCCTATTTGCAAAGTATTTTAGTGTGTGTGTTATTCCCTTTTTTTTTTTTTCTTTTCTTTTTTCAAAGACATTAACCCACATTACAAAGATAATAGTTGGCAAATTTATGTTATATGTGAAAAAATGCATCTGCTATCGTTGTTTCTATCATCATTGATTCAAATATAAAAGTCTATTATAAATAATAATTAAAAGATAATAAATATAATTCTATAATTTAACATTAAACAAGACAATACTAAACACTGATCGGATTATATTGTTTTTGTATGTTTTTTGAAACAATATAAACTTCATTGCAATGAAATAAAAATGTCTTTTGCTTAATCTGCCCAAACCTTTATGTCCATTTCATTTGATTCGACATTTTTAACAAATTGTTAATGTCGAAACATGGATGGACACAATTGTTCATGGGTCATATTAAGTAAAGGAATATTCCTGTCCTTACATTTAACATTTTTTAAATCTTTATGAATATGTTGCTTTCCTAATACTAATCTATATAAAAATCTATTATCGCAATCACATATAAATGGATTGCCACTTAAAGTAAATACTTGAAAGTCTTGACGATACAAGAAGTTACTTACGTTGTAATCCAATCTTGCTATATTATTATTATGTAATTCTAATATCTAAAAACATAAAATATAAGATTAACAAGAAAATTATGAGATATTTCAAATGAATGTAAAGAAAAACTAATCAAATAAATTATTTACGTACTTTGAGAGTTGTTGGAAAATTGTCCAATGATACTTTAGAAATCTGGTTATTAGACAAAAATAATTCTATTAAGTTAAATTCTTGTAAATCATCGAGTGATGGTATTTTCTTTAAATGATTTCCTGTGAAATTCAATACTAATGCATGCATGCTCACAAAATGAACTTTACTCTTGTCGATTCTGAATATAGGTATATTTTTGTATGAACAATCCAAAATTCGAGCTTTGTCATACGGTCGTACATAGCAAGTACACCTAGTTTGACAATTTTTGTGAAGTTCAAAAAATGCATCCTCTTGACACTTGTAGGTTTTAAAATCCAGCTGATTTATTAGTGGCCCTTGTGTTCCATCAGGTTGTACACACGTTAAATTTCCCAATATAAGTTCAATGAAATTATAAACAGTAACAGGCATATCACCGTTAAAATAACGCACAATGTCATATAAACTGCAATCGCATGATAACGGATTGTTTTTAACGTCAATAACAAAATGACGATTGCCATAATTTCGCTTAGCCGATGATTCGATGTTATTTAGAAAAATCTTCTTTATGTTGTTGTTTCTTAGATTGACTATAACTATATGTTTCCAAAAAACAAAGTCATCCGTCTATAAAAGAACAAAATAAATATTAAATCTATGACAAATATTAATCGATAAAATTTCATATTTCATATTTACCGTTATTGTACTTATATTGTTGTAACTCAGATCTAATAATTCTAATTCTACTTTATTTGCAGCCCAATCGCGAAAAAAATGTTTTATTCGATTGTTCGCTAAATGCAATTCCGTAAGAAGACGATTATTGTAAAAAGGTGACAACGTTTCGTTTGAAGAATCAAACTGTAGCATATTATTTGAGAATTTAGCAATGGATAGTTGTTCATTGGATGAAAATGCTGATTTATCGATATATTTTAAATGATTTCCTTCCATGTTGATTTCTAACAACGATGTCAAACCTTCAAACAGATTTCTACAAAATATTTGAAACATTTATTAGATTGAAAAGAAATTTGTTTCTAAATTTTATAAGAATTTACCTTTGTATATTAGAAATACGATTAAAAGACAAGTCGAGTACTTTTAAGTTTTTAATATATCTAAAAACCAAATCAGGAAGCTCCTTAATCGAATTGTAACATAATACGAGATATTGAACATTTTGTAAATTTTTGAAAATATGTTC